ATCAAGCTCAATTGGCATAACATACTATACAAAACATTGTTCCACCTCCTACTTTGGCGAGTAGCGACTGGAATCTTAAAAGCTAGCAAGCTGCCTGCTAGATGCAACGATGGGTCTCTCCTCGTCCAGAGCAAAGAAGAATGAAGAAAACCAAAATTCATGGAAATAATTAGTCCTAGCAACTGGTATACCATGTGATCCACAGCCTATACTACTATGAGACCAGAAGAACTAGATGGTGCCCAGCTACCACTGTCAACCACTCAGAGGGAGATCTATGTAGGAGATCCTGGATAGAGAAGGGAGAACAATGTGGAAAAAAACTCAAAATCATTTTGGGGGGGTAATGGAGATGGGGGAGTGAGCAGGTTTGCTGGTCCAATAGAGCCTGGTGGAACCACTGAGACTGGCCCCTAGCTGCCCTTCAGCTCTGGAGTTGAACATTTACCTGAGGTAAATACACTCGGAAAGAACAATCATGGGAGAAAGAAGGGCTGTTTATGCACAGGGAGACAGCGCAGGGGGCAGGAGGGCATGGAGGGATGGACACAGGGAAGAGAGAACTTGGGAGGAAGTGGGAGGGGAGCGGTTGCATTAGGATAAATTGTAGTCAATGTCATGAGATAAAGGGTATGTGAACTACCGTATGGGAAGTGAATCTGCTCTGTAAATTTTCACCCAAATCACAAAATAAATAATGCCTGTGTTGAGCATTGAACCCTTTTAATCTATCTACCTACCAAACTTAAAAAAAAAAAAAAAATGCACTGCCATTGAGTTGATTCTGACTCCTAGTGACCCTCATTGGGTTTCCAAGGTGGTAAATCTTTATGGAAGTACATTGTCCCATCTTCCAGAGAGCAGCTGTTGGGTTTAAACTGCCAGCCTTCTGCTTAGTAGTCAAGTGCCTTAGGCACTGTGCCACCACAGTCCAACTTGGGGGTGGGAGGATCACTGCCATCGATTCATTTCCAACTCATAGCAACCCCTCCTTGGGTTTCTGAGGCAGTATCTCTATGGAAGTAGATTGCCCAACCTCCCTCCCAATTAGTGGCTGGTGGGTTTGAACTGCCAGCCTTCCTGCCAGCCTTCTGGTTACCAGTCACAAATGCTTTAGGCACTACACCACCAGTGCTCCTTATGCCAGCTATATGGGATCGAATTCACAATAGCATCTCGAAAGATCAGATAGGAAACTTAGGGGGCAGTGAGTTTATGTTAATGGGGGAGGAACAGTTCAGGAAAGGAGGGTGACAGTGGTTGCTCAACTTAAAACATAATGACACCAAATTGTACAGCTAGAAATAGTTGAACCAGTGTATGGTCTGATGTTACGTTCTCAAAAACTAGATACATAATTTTTTACACGGCTGACAGTAACAAAGTATTAAATGATAAGTAGAGTTAAGGTATTCTGAGAT